AAATATAAAATTTAAAATCAACCATATACAGTTTAATTTGAATTCTAATCAGAAACATTGGTAATATAGTAAGAATGTTAAGGTTCCAATCGTTTGGTCATTGATTCAGGGACTACTATAATTAATTTAATTTATCCAGCATAACAACATAATTATTCGTCACATTGAGTACAAGAATCTGTTATTCATGCCAATTTGTATGATCTAATTAACACTATGATTAGTTTTACAGATTATACCAGATCACATGCAATTGAGTTTGTTCACATGTAGTATGGTTAAACCCTTTTGTTAACTTATTTAAAGGGCAGAGTCATATATTCATTCTGCTAGCCTTACTATCAGTCGCTTAATTGATTCTATGACTTATTGATTTCCCTATGTTCATTTAATCGCCGACTCACTTGCTCACTTGCTTGTCTGCTTGCTTTTTGGCACTAATTTTTCATGCTTGCCTAAAGTATTTGTAATTTTGGTCATCTATGTGTGGTGGATTAATAAATTTAATCTACACATCGTATTCGCCTTCTAATTAATATACCGTTGAGACATTATCTAGTAACGGTTATCAAGACGCATTGTTTACGAAGTTTAAGGGTTATATCGAATACCGACCATCACAAGATATTTAATTAAAAACGCAATGAAATATGAATATTTCTTTGTTAGTAAATCTTAAACGAACATTGTGTAGCTGTGAACGCAGTCAGTTTTGGGTATGAACATGGTCATTTCTTAGTGGTACTACAAAAAAATTAAAAATATTTACTCATTATATAACTGTTGTACGAAGAAAACAGTACGCGGCATCCCGTATAATTTATTTATTTTAATCAATAATTGTCAAGTGTTTTTTTTTTAAATCACAGACTGACATCAGCTGGGTAACTCATGAAAACCCAAGGCTCCTAGATAGTTATTAAGTGTTGGTTTCAGATTACTTAACAATGAATATTCACAATTCCAAGTGGAATCCAAGTCATGCATGTAAAAGTTTACACAAAGCAAAATATCTTTAAACTATTGAGTTGAAATTCAGTAGTCTATATTTTCTAGACTATGAAATTATTTATTTACTATTGAATAGTGACTAATTTCAGCTTTTGGAAATTTTTAATTCCAAATTGAATCATCTCTATAAATCCTGTATTCAGTAGATAAGCTGTAATTAAATCTGTCACATTTTGAGAAAAAGTCAGCATAATTCGATTCTAGTGTTTGCAAATGAATAGAGCGAAAAATAGTAGGAGATGCTATCTTAATTCGAAACAAACTTAACCTGAAGATATCATCAGTTATAAAAGTTTATATTCATTATTTTATCGACATTCAAAAATGAACTCGATCAGTTTCTATTTTCATACTTACTTCTTGAACATGTACTTTTGTATTACTCATATTTAGAACTTGAGCATATTCTAGAACTAGAATTCCCATTTATGCTGTATTCTGAACATTTAAAGAAATGAATACATGATATATTAACTCTGAAATTCTGAGAATATCAAATGTGTTAGTGTTTAATAAGACAAAACATGCATTATGGATTCTACGACTAACTACTGTATTGAAATCCTTAAGAGAATTCATAAGTATCAAAGCTTTTGTTTTAGTATTAAAACTTTGATCAAAAATGATAAAACTAATTTGCATCGAAAAATAGACAGATAATTATTCCGGTGAGATTATAATTTATGCACGAACCAATTAAATTAATGATATCAAGTCTTGGATTTGGGCCTTAAATTCATTTATCCATATAGTTAAATAGCATTTTCGGGGGATTAAAGCTGATTTCAGTTCATGATGATTAATAACCATAAATTCTAGCTCTAAATCCTAATTTTAATTCTTCTTATTAATTTATAACTTTCTTTTGACCCTGGTAAGTAAGTGAGTAATCCCATGGTCACTTTCGTGTCTCTCAAAGGTTGTTCGTAAGGAAAGCCTTAACTTTATTCTTTAAACAGATTATTAGCTATCGTTTATTGGATAAACTATTTGCATAAAAGGTATTAAATGTCAGAAGGTTAAACGAATTCTATGATAAATTTATAGTTTTGATAAAACGTTTGTCGTAGAACTAAGAATAATGGTGGCGTGGCGTCGTGTCGCGGTTGCCTATGAACACCACTACAAAGGAACGAGTGACAGGATATTCATAAAATCCCTCGGAAGCCAAATATCAGAAGGCATTTAATGAACCAAGTCGAGATATGTTTGCTGGCGATCTCGTGGTATCGAAAGAATAAGGATAAAAGCTTGGTTATTGATCGTAACCGGATTCGCGCGAGGTCACAACCGAAGTAAGTATAATGAATGTTTTTAGCACAGTTAAACAAAGAGCACATTAAACAGTCACTGGTACAATTGGTTATAATAATAATTGTTTTCAATAAACCAATCATGTTCTCGTGATAAAAGTGAGTCACCACAGACTAAACTCAGTATCCTTTCTTTTGTTCATCATTCTTCACTTCAGATAATTTTTGATCAATCATGATTGTTATTCATTATAGTTACCAAGCATTTATTCTAATATGTAGGATTGTTTAAAATATATTCATATTTAATCATTAAATGTGTAATATCGTCAAACGTTATTGTTTTTGTATTGTATCGTCGCTAAACGGATATCGTTTCCCTTAGTTTATATATCCCATAGTTACTTTTTAACTGTTACTACGCATTATATAGTACAGGGTTAAGTTTTGATTAGACTAATAAAAATTAGGACTTTAATTATGTAAAAACTATTTGAGACTTGATTTGTTGTATGAAAAATATTAATATTAGAAGGGGTTTTGTGGATATTATAGTAATTTTAATAGTTGAGATCATGAGTTAATTGAAGCTAGACCACCATGGAAAACCTGAAAGCACTATACGGCCGTTTCGTCCTATTATGGAATTCTTCAGAAGTGCTCATTCTAGATCCCGCCTAGAAAGATTTGAACCCAGGACCTATTGGTTCCACAATAGGATGAAACGGCCGTCCAGTGCTTCCAAGTTTTTCATGGTGGTCTAGCTTCAATTAACTCATGATCTCAACTAGAAAAATATTAAGCTAACTATATCTCTCTTATGTATCTCATAAGTCTAGCAAAACTGTAACAGCTTTTATTCTAAATCAAGAACTTTATTCTAAAGCATTTTGTCAATGAAATCAACATGACGTAATCACTGTATTTCACACATATCTTATTAAAATAACCGTATTTTACTTTCATTGATTATCACTTTGTCTCATTTTTCATATATAATTCACAAAATATAAATGTTGGACATGAAACCTAATTCTCAACTTCTAATTACCCTACTCGATTCAACTAGTTTCCATGATGAGACTATAATTTATGGACGACATTTGAGCGACGCTAAAGTGACCTTGTGAGTGTCCACGTAATAACTAGGACCAAATTAATGTTATAAACAAGTGTGAGTAATTAGAAGTATAACGTATAATTGATGGTTAATGTTAGGAATTCGATTTAGGGATTTCATCACAAACTGACATCAGCTATAATGCCAAGACTTTATTTAACCAAATGAATGAGTGAATTTCGTTCCAAAATCTAAGACCTGTTATTTTATACGTGATTGATTCATCCATAAATTATAGTCTCACCGTTTCCATATTAGAATAGAAAAAAAAACTAATGAAAAAAGGATTCATTTTAAACATTGGATCAGTGTTATTGTTTTATTAAATCTGTTCAATTGTTCAATATTACATAAATTTAAACTTGATAATCAACATTTGAATAACAATAACAATATTTTTCACAGTATATATATATATTCTTTATTATAATTAAATAGATAAAATCAAGATTGAAAATGTACACTTACATAAGAATATATGCACATACACACATACACACACATACATACATACACATGTAAACATACACAAGATCAAGACATTTAACATGAGCTCCTCAACAACAACAACATGAACAACAAAAACAACAACAACAACCAACTATTCCTCGTTTTATAAAATTTAAAAAGTAAACAATTCACAGAAGAAAAAAAATCTTTTTCAAATATTCTATGTGGAGAAAAAAAATACACCAATAGAAAGAGGAAAAAATAGATCTGAAAATGATAAATAACATTTTGTTCTCCCCCTTTTTTTTGAAAAAAAAAGAGAACCAAATAAACAAATAAACATTCTGTAAAATCAAATAAACATTTTCTATAATAATAATAATAATAATAAAATGTTGTGTAAATAAACAAGCAAAAAATAAATTTTTCTCTTTTTTTTGTGTTTGTTGAGAAAAAAAAATTAGCAGGATATAAAGGTATTAATTAATTAATTCAATGAATCAATTTGTTCATCTGAATTGTTGTTCATACATTTCACACGTTGAATAAATAAACAACAACAATAAAAGAAAAGAAAACAAAACAAAAAAACAAATCAATGAAGAAGAAGAAGAAAAAAAGGAAAAAAAAGAAATATGGATATATTTTGTATATCAATTTATTTATATCAATCTAATAGTTGTCTTTTATTAAAATAATAAAGAATGATGATTTTTTTGTTTCAAGGTGAACAATAATGATTCATTTAAAACAAAATTAAAGAAGCAAATGTAATAATTATGAATTTTAAAAAAAGAAGAAGCAACTCATAAGAACGAGAACACCAACATTAACAACAACAATAAGAGAAATATAACACAATTAATAATCAAGTGTATAATATATAAGATAGACAGATATTGAACATATGATATTTGAATGATTGAATTCGAGATAATCGATCATCACCCTCCCCCGACACACATACATGCACATACACGTACATACATAAACACAAACATGGAAACATAAAGAAAAAAATCTATTTAAAATGTACACATAGGGAACTTACACAAACACAATAAATATACATGTCAACTAGATTAATCAGTATGATTTGATTTATTTATTTATACAATAAACATAAAGTGGAATGAATGAAATGAAAGACAAACAAAATAATGATTGCGGATTCCAAGTGTTAATTCACTGTTCATAGTTTGTTTAAACAATAATAATAATAATAATAATAATAGTAATAGTAACGGAAATGTTTATTTATTTAAATTACACATAATTTACACAGATTTAAGCTGTAAGCCAACAAAAATAAAAGAAATAAGAGGCAAATTTTTAATGAAATAATGAATATTATAATTTAGAAATAAAAAAAACACATTTAATCACAAACCCCTGGTGTTGTAAATTGATTACCATTTTCAGTTCTATTTGATAATTGAAACCATGCTTCAATACGACGATATGGTGGTCTAAATACAGCTAACCATAATTCACGTCTTTCAGCTTTAGCACCAGCACCTAATGTTAAACCACCAATAAAATCATTACTTGGACCATGATCAAAATCCCATACAGTTATTTCAAGTGTTCGACTACCAGCTTCAGATGCATTTAAATCATAGAAAAATGTCTAAATGAAAGAAATTTTTTTCAAAAAAAAAATGGTTAAAATTATATAGATTATTTTATAGATACAATGAAAAAATCAATCAACTTTTAAAGATTCAATTCCTAGTGACAAAAATAGCTGATAGGTCAATTGGTAGGTTTGAAGCTATCACGAGTTCACTTAATCTGCTAACAAGAAACAAGGCTAGGTGACCAAAGACCAGCAGACTAGCCATTGATGTGTCCTAATTCCGCTCAATAGAGGGAGGAGACCGAGCTTGGAATGAGAAGTATATTCTGCAAAACAGCCAAAAACGAGCGATAACAACAAACACAATTCAAAACGTGTATATACATATATAATCGATATTGTCACGGAAGTTTTGTTTAAACATTTAATCGATAAGCTCGTCAATCGCTCAAGCATACGTCTGCATACAAGCTCCACAAAGATAAAATTAAAAAATCTGAATTTTGGGGATCTATCGTCTCCAAAATCAATAAAAAAGAATTTAAACAATAAAAGTAAGTAGACAGGATAATACACACATTCCTTTATCTTTGTAACTCGGTTGTACAATGGAAACCTAATCAAAACTCTTGGTTATTAAATGTTATTGATATAGTTGAAGAAGAGCTGAACCCATTGCTTAATACGCTAAGGGAAAACTGATATCCCGGAAAGTTTACAAGTAATTCTTTCTTTGTTAACCATATACCGACTTTTTATCAAGTGATTAATGAAATGTTTAATTAGGTAGGTCATATAAAGAAAAAAAAATACATAACGACATAGGTTAGTAGATAATTAGGGAGAGAAAAAGAAAGAGAAGTGATAATTTAATTGACGATTTCTACAAATCTTCAATTTCTTTAACTCTTCCTGCTTTAAATGTTTTGGTACAGATGAGAAAGTGAATGATAGAACAAAACTAAACTTAGACGTTATCATACATTCTCCTCGATAAATGATAAATGCACAAAAAGCCTTTACAAACAATCCAACTAAAGATACTGATGACAGATGTTTAGATGGATATTCTAAAGCAATTCATTGAAAAGTCATGAATTGTGAATTCAAAGATTTTAGTGACATAATAGTTATATGATGACTGATGATTGATTAGTAATTAATATAGTTTTTAGTCCTTAATCGCGATCAATTTCTTCCTGAATGACTTAACATCACAAACAATCTGTTTGGATGTAAAATTGTCGTATGTTAGTTACCAGGATACTTTCTATTTTATACTAGTTGACACGCAGAAGCAAGAAATGATTAGTCCTGAAATCAATGATATTCAGTTTCATGGTAAAACGATTGTACTCCTGATCTATTCAAGCCGTAAGATGAATTCCTGTCAAGCTGATATATTCACATCTGATATACAGCATCGTTCCTATCAATATTTCAAATATACCTCACTGATGAGTGCCAAACTTCACAAAATGTGAGTTTATATCCTACTACTGACATCTGTAAACAATCTTTTATTCAGATAGTTTCTTCAGTCGACTCTAATCTTTACTGCTTTATCGTTTTCTGTAGTTTATCAACTAATATTTATTGGTTCATGATCACCGTTTTCAATTTCTCCTAATTTTCATTGTTTATAGATATCCTTTTTCTTTTCAATATTTTGTTACATATAAGTAGATTGAAAAGAAGAAAATAATAAGATTAAGTGAAAATTAATCCTTATTGTGTTTTTGGGTTAAATCGTTGACATGGTAACATGCGATGATAGATTAAGGTATAACTTATTACAGTATATAAATTATAATGATAAGTTTAAAATTATATGTATGTATATACATATTTAGAGGCCCTAAAATAGGACTTTAGTATCAGAGAATTAAGCAATTAGTTCCTTTTATAAACTTCGGTAGAGTAATGAGAACATATAGTTGATCTGAAAAATAGGATACATTTACGCTATACATTTCGAACCATACAGTCAAGGGTTATGGAACATGTGCTTGGATGGCTTCAACACCAATTAATGTCAAATGTTCTAATCAACGTGGGAAGTAGAAACTCATGTTCATCGATAGCAAAACAAAGAATTGACATCAATACAGCTTTTAAAACGTTGTATATAGATTTTCAAAGACGAATTTCCATATTTAGAGAAGCTTGGCTATTCATAAATTTAAACCCCTGTCATGTTTACAAAACCAAGTTGTCATAACCTTGAACTAACCCTGGTAATCCTTAAACTATTTTATAATCTAGGGTAATGTGACAATTTCCTATTCTTTCTATATGATGTTAATTCTATCTCCTTTATTTACAATTATCAACTTTGTTTACTTGAATTTTCATTTAATTTACTTTTATTCATTTTCATATAAAATACCTTAGCAAGTATATGTATGACCAGATTATTCGAAATATATAACACAAATGCATCCCATTTTTCAAATCAATGCAATCTTCTCATTGCTCTGTCGGAACATACGAAAACTAATGAATAGCAAAGAGTCCATTTGATTGTAAGATATTTTGATATTACTATAAAGATATAATTGACCATCAACTCTGTAACTTTGCTTCCAACCATAATTATTGATTTAGACAAGATTAATATCAGATAGGGTATTTTTGTGTGGATATTATAGTAATTATAATAGTTGAGATCATGAGTCATTTAAAGCTAGACCACTATGAAAAACTTGGAAGCATTAGACAACCGTTCCGACATATTGCAGGACTCTTCAGCAATGCGCATCCATGACTAAACATCCAAGATTAAACAGTCACCAATTTGTGAAAATATAATTATAATTAATATTTGATCAGAGAATGATTTATTTTGATAACTTACTTCATGAAATTCTGGGAATAGAGTAGCTTTTTTGACTTGAGTCTTCTGTTTTGTTTTCTTAGTTTTATCTGGTCGAAGGTATCTATTTATATGGAAATACGAATACATATATTACTTAAATATATAATAAAATTTCGATTAGTGTGTATAATACAATTACTGAATTAGTTTTAATTTAATAAATACACAACGAAAACGTAATAAAATATTCAGTGCTAAATGTATGGAATTAGAAATATTAACCAATCAAAGCTAATCACTTCTTGAAAGAGCTGAAGGTGTTGAATTCAGTCACTGTCAAAACAGTGAATCATCACTGCTGAGTACTCCCAAATTAAAATGAATCAACTAGGTAATAAATCTTGGTTTCCAGTGATTACCTAACTAAAGACGTTTTAGTATGAGTTCGGAATACAAATATATTGGCAGTTTGAATGTTATTTATATATATTCAAATAATTGAGTTCATGAGTCAATTGAAGCTAGACGATCATGGAGAACCTGAAAGCACTGGACGACATTTTCGTCCTGATATGGGACTCTTCAGCAGTTAGACATTAACACCGTTGAATGCCGGCCGACTCAGTGGTCTAGAGGTTAAACATTCGCACGCAGGACTGATAGGTCCCAGGTTCAAATCCCACGGAGCGAGATCGTCGATGCGCACTGCTGAAGAGTCTCATACTAGGATGAAACTGCTGTCCAGTGCTACTAAGTTTTTCATGGTCGTTTATCTTCAATTGACTCATCAGTTTAACTATCTAATTACTAAAATCTCTACAAAACTCTCTTCTGATAATAGTCAAATAATTTGTTACATACATTTTAGTATCTACTAGTATCTGCTAATAAATGCTGCTAAAATGCCGTTTCACATTGTATAATTGTGTCTCTACAACATATTCATATTGTTGACATAAACTAGAAATTAGTATCTTTATTGTACAGTAACTTAATAATACATGCAAGACAGACTTTACGAAATGTTTATTTGACTGCTTGTATGTAAATATATTAAACTACTATCTACGAAGTGTATAAAATATGAATTAAGTCATAAATTGAGCCGGATAGTAAGTATGACAAATATTTCTGACAGAAAGCGAGACATCCATTCCTTTATTCATTTTTTTAGTTGTATTATTTTTGACGATTTTATAAACAGAAGTGATATTTAACACTAGTTAATAAATAACCAATGTAAATATCTCAACCCTGTAAGAGGTCAGTCATAGTTTGAATAGCTTTGTAATAACACCTCAAAGTATGAGTCTGTGTGACGTGGGTTTGTACTTGACAGGAAATATTAGTTATCTCAACGTTTCTGACACTCTCAAAGCAAGAGTAACATTCGTACAATCAAAGAATATATGAAACTCAAAACAACTGTAAACCAATATCAAAGTCAGAATTCTCAATCGGAATATCAATCCTACAATCCTACTGTATGGAGCTGAAACTTGGAGAACTACCACAAAAATCATGAAAATTGTACAGGTATTTACAAACAGTTGTCTATTCAAAATACTCAATTGGATAGAACAAACTAGCTTCTGGCTGAAGAGGAAATTAGAAAAGTACGTTGAAAGTTTTTGAACACATATTGAGGAAATCAAATTGCATTACGAAGAAAGTGCTAACTCTTAATCCTAAAGGGAAAAGGAAGAAAGGAAGATCAAGGAATATATTATGTCGGGACTTGGAGGCAGACATGAAAAGAACGAATAGCTATTGGAAAGAACTAAAAAGGATTGTTCGAGACAGTGTTGGATAGAGAATTCTGATAGTCAGCGTATGCTCCTCCAAAAAGGTTAACAGGTGTAAATAAGGAAATAAGTTCTGACACCAATTTCTGTTAATTGTCAACTGATATTATAGGAAAGAAAAGTCAATTTTCGATTGAATTACTCATTATGAGTTTTATTCAACATTGACATCCGTTTTGATTCAACATGAGAATCATTCAGTGTAGTATTTGATTTGTTTTCCCAGTATTATAATTTCTTCTGTATAATATACGATATTCTTGTATTCAGTTGACAGTAATTATGCTCAGTAAGTGATTTGTTATAACTGAGTATGTGATGTAATCCTAATTATTAATCACAATGGGTGTACAATCAATATATAAACCAGTGTATTTTAGACTATTGTGATTCATTATTATTATTATCATCATCGTCGTCGTCATAGTGTTTTAGGGCTAATAAATCTTTGCTTATACCAGTTTTTGTGTTCTTACTTTCGCGTCGTGGGAATTGCAGAAGTCCCTCGTTCCGAACACAAGTGATTAGCGTTTTTCTGGCACAGCAATCAGCGACGACCAAATATGACATCAACAAACATAAAATCTAGGTTTCGGATTTACTGCAGACTTGTATCAATCATATAAAATAAGACACATTAAACTAAACTAATAATCCTGCATATAGAAACATAGAATGTTCTGATTTTGAACTTCTTAGAAGATATTTTGATATAAAAAATATTTCTATAAAAAGGAATCATTTGAATTTTCACAAACTTTCTAACTTTTAACTGTCTCTTCCTCTCTCTCTGTCTTTCCCTATGTGACTAAATGTGTACATATTCCGTGACCATCTATATACTCATTTTAAAGTATACAAAATCTCCCTATCTGTATTTATTATGTCTTAGAAAACGCGTTATTTTAAAGTATAAAAAAGAAACATAAACAAAAAGTTATCCGTTAATTATTTAAGATAAATATCTATGATAATCATTCTGTATTGTTTACTTAACTCTATCATTCATTGTTTATTTTATTTTTTTTAAAAAAAAAGAGAAAAAAAGGAAAAAGTAAACATTATGTCTTCAACAATTGTATTATTATTATTATATTCAATTAATACTTAACTAGGTTAATAATATCTATCTATTTAGAATGAAGTTAATTGAAAGCTTACATTACATAATTAAAAAAAATCATATTGTTAGTTGTAATTCCATTTTTTTTTAGTTTTTTTTATTTTGAACAAAAAAAAATAGAGAAAAATAAATTAGGTCATAAATTTAATTTCCTTTATAAATTGTTAGATTCCCCTCTTTCTTTTCTTTTTTCTCTATTTTTTTCTTAGAATCTTAAAATCAATAAAGAATACTCCGCTAACCTTTACATTTTCTTTTATTTATTGATTTGTATTATTATGAATTTTTTTTGTTTTTTTTTTAGTTTTTTTTAACTAAATTCATCCTTAAAGAAATAATATTTTATGATAAAGTTTTTTTCTTTTCTTTTCTTTCTTTTTTTTATTTTCATGAAAAATGGATTTATTCTGTCTTTGTTACCCTTACTCTCTCTCTCTCTGTCGCTTAGTTTCTCTGTTTCTCTTTTTTTTCTTTTTTCTTTGTTAATATTTAGAATTAAGATTTAGTTTCATTATGTTTATTTTTATTTTAAAAAAAAGAAAGAAAGAAAAAGAAAACTATTTTTAACGAAGCGCCAACAACAGAAATAAATTTACTTTTATTTATTTATATTTTTGATTTGTTACATAAATTGTAGGTCAATTTTATTTCATCAATTCAATGTTCAATTTAGAACGTTTAAAGTGAAACATTCAATTTATATGCATATTATAGATATATATAAATGAAAGGAAATATATGATGGATATATATATGCTTAAAAGTCATTTGCATGCAATTTACAATAAAAAAAGAAAGGAAAACAAGTAAAGAAAACCTTTTTAGGGAGGAATATAATTGAACTTATATATTGGTGTCATTTAAATTTATACCTTTTATTATATTAGTAAATCAACTGTTATATACACTATTTTATACAGAATATCAGTTGAAAAAATCTTCATAAGTTAGGTATTTAAAAAGAAAAATAAGATCTATTTAGAAGATATCTTATTAAGGAATGAAGTCATTTAAAGAACTATTGTAAAACAAGAAAAATGAAATAATGAACGACTGTATTATTGTAATATGAGATTTGTCAGTAGTGTATATACACATATTTGTACGGGTTCGAGATCACCACATACCACATTAGTACAGAGATGCAGTTTTCGATTCAAATCCCGTAGTGGTAGAGGTAGTAAGATTATAAACAGTAATCGAAAAGATTAGAGTCTGGAGATTTAATTCAAGGAGTATGATACAGTGAAGTAAATTTGGAAAGAGAAAAAAAGAAACAAGGAGGAATCAGGAGATTAAAATTTGGAAGAACACAAAGAATGTATGCACCTGTTCCATTGCAAACGATTTTGAGCCATGTCATTCAGGGTCTCTAACCATCGGTTGCTATCATCTCGCGATCCCCAACCAGGTAGTCTACACCCACCGACATGACTCAGTCCACTTGTCAGTGATTCCATGGACTTGTGCCATGTTTTGGTCTGGCCGCCCCTAGCTTTCTTCCAACCTTCTCCTATACCATTGAGCATCGCACGTCGAGTCAGTCGGTGGTTGGGAATACGTAACACGTAACACGTCCCAGCCATCTCAACTGATGAAGTTTCACTACGTCATCAATTGATTTGCCATTCTTACCTAGTACCCGTTTCCTTACAACTGCGTTACTTACTCGATGGCCCCATTTCGTAGAGTTGTTTTATTAGACTTTCACTACTCATTAATATACACTTGAAATTTAATTTATACATAATCTGTCTGTATCCTTCTATCAGTAACAAGTTTTGAGGTTCTTAAACTCACGAGAAAGTACCAAGACTTAAAACACAAAACATAACTAATAATAATTAAAAGTTTCAACATGTGACTGACCAATATTGCAACATGAATTACTTCGAATGACATAAAGCTGATTATCGTCTGCTAGGATACAATATTCCACATACTATTTTCTCATAACTAATGAATGAAAAGGTTTTCTCATTAATAAATATTCAACAATTATAAGAACACCTTTAAACAGTTTGATTAATTTCCAAAGTTAACGAAAGATGTAACAAAAATACATTCAAAAGGTGTTCTTTCATTCACATGAATTATTCATTCATTTCTGTCGTGTAAGTCAATAAATTTCGAGTCCCGCTAGGGGGATTGTAGGTGTGCATTTCTGAAGAATCCCATACGAGAACGAAACGTCCTTTTAGGTTCTTCATGGTGAACTAGCTTTAACTGCTTCATGAATTCAACTATTAAATTACTACAATCTCCATAAAACCCCTTTCTGATAAATTTCAAAAACATCAAAGAACTTAAATACTATCCTCAACTGCAGAAATTCGGTAAAAAGCTCCTAACCTTAATTTCAACTCACTCATCATTTGTCAGTAAGATGCTTGGGCAATCCCATGAAATGTGGAACTTTTTGTAAGATTAAAACTCTCATTACCTTACGCTAAGATCGAAGAAGGTAATATTCAGCCAACAATCTCTCATTTATTCCAAAATAATCATAAGTGTCAGTTTAAGTCAATCATTCACAATGATTCATTAGGTTAGTAATTTTATATCAAAGTCAGTCAAACTCAAATTTTTACAAATGGCAAAAGTAATAGTCATTCGGATTTGAAAATTAGAGAAGTGTATGGTTAGGAAATATGTTCAACCCCTTCTCTTTTTTGGTCAAACTCTGGGCCAGTAAGTCACTGATAATCTTAATTTTAGAATTACCTAATTTGAATAGTGTACTTACAAGCTCAGTACTTTTATATTCTCATAAGTCAATGATGATTGTAATAATACTAATAATAATACAAAGAAATATAGATAGAAATAACAATGGGAATAATATCTGAATAAGATTAATTTCGTTGCAAGATAACAATCAATCTTCTTAACTTGAGGACAATTTATTAAGTACTCAACCCACTGCATTATTCTCTTTTACCGAATACGTGCACTGTGTAGTCATCCACATTCAATCTGATTTGTAATTAAACTATTATTTCTTTGTCACTTTATTACTCTGTTCTGATCAATAAACTCACAATTTCATTTCACGTATAAGCTCATTTAAGTTATCATTGTTTGTTGGTCATTTCAACATTAACAATTCTACTTTATTTTACGAACAATCCTAAATTCATAAGCACAGACAATGGTGACCAGCAATGGAATTCAGAATGCGCATTGCGTCCTATTTACGACTCGTCAACCGAATAAATGTATAGTGTTTTACTGATTGATTTCCTGTCGAATTAGCACATTACTACTAACTAACCGTTAAGTAGTGACTAATGTTCAAGGGTTTCTAATAAACTTTTATAACTACCTAGTAGTAAATACAGTGCAGTCACTTAATTCGGTGATCGAAATTCAAACTTTAATCAATGATATTTGATCAATACTAGGTTAGTAACAATGTGATATTTATCAAAATTTAGTAATCAATTAGTAAACCATTATTTATGATAAAATTTATATCAAGTTAATAAAAGCAACAGCTTACAATTTGACAAAAGGATCAGAGAATCCATTAAGATCCATTGGAGCTAAATTAGCACAACGAATTACTTCAACATATAATTGTTTACGATCTTCTAAATAGCCAAGACCTAGTTGTATTTTACCACGTGTTGGGCATGCTAAATCAAATTCACCACGTTGTATCTAGTAAATAAGATAAAACTTTATTATCATTAAGTTGATTTATTGTAATGAATTACATAAATTAGTTTATTTAACATTCAAGCGTAAAATGTCTTGAACCACGTAAATAGTGAAAGAAATCGAAAAAGATCGCGCTACATCACAAAATCATCGATCAAAATTCTATGTGTTATCTTTGGAACTTAAAGGTTTTGAAACTGATCCATGGTGTAAAGTAGTAAAGATATAATTTTGAAACGTCTCAAACCTAAAAAAAACAGGTGTTTAAAATGATACCTGATTTTTGATGATTCTAGAAACTGTTAATGGTTCAAATTCAGAGCTTGCTTTCATTTCGTATTATAAACGACACTATGAAATACCATTTAAGTATATAAAACTAAGAGTTTCTTACAAATTATCTCTAAACATCTTCTGGCATCACTTCTTTTGTCTTATCTAGATTGAAAATTGTTTATTCACTTCAATAAATGTGATTGATATGCTGAGTATTAGTTGTTATGTAACGATTTGTAATTTTAACTACTCCCGAAGCAATGGCTAAATCTACGGTCACTAGCCAATGATTAGGTTCAGTTTCATAGTTGGTTTGCAGCTTATACAATCGTATGTACTATGTCATTTCTATATTTAACAACTAGATATCTTAAAGCATTATATTTCTAATCAGAATCAAATTGTAAACAGTTGATAAAGCGTAATATGTAACAATCATAGGTTTTTAAAATACCAGATATAGCTGGTTTTTATTAAATACTATTGAAAAGTCTACATCTACTCTATATGATTCTCAATAGCTTTATGTAGTCCTTAATTTGAATGTGTTATGTAATAAATGTTTGGAATCGAATAACTTCTTTCTGATCTTAACTCATGAAGTGTCAGAACTTTCTAATAATTTATTTTTGACAAAATAATACAAAGTACCAGAGTCGGTTGAAGAATGCTGGTCAGCGGCCTATACTTCATTGGTAGTAACAGGTGTAAGTAAGTAAGTAATACAAAGTACAATATTAATGAAGTAAATACAAGTTGAAGCTTGTAAGAAGTAATAAATTCACTACATTCTTTTGGTAAAACTATTATATACAATAAAAATAATAAAACTACCGGTTTATGTGGGCCAAGTGGAACAGCGAAATCAGTTAAACGATTAGGAATTAGTTGAGATAATTGTAATCGATATTCTCCAAGCCAGTCAGAACCATACAAATCTTCATCAAGTACAGCTAATCTAAATTATAAAATAAGATTCTATTATAATAATTAAATATTTTAGTATGAGGTTAATCATCCTTATTCAATGTTTAATAAAAGCGTAACATTTAGCATTTCAGGGCATTTTTCTGTTCAGTTAATGGGTTAATGCCATATATATGAGAGAATAATTTTCACTAGAGGTTTTATATTAGTTATTCAAAATTATTTGTACATATTTTATATAAAGAATTGTAAAATTTAAATACAGTTTTTGTCATAAGTTCATAATTCCTCAAGTTTGAAATTATGTAAGAACTCATAGAATTGTAGTACATTACAACTTAACTGTGACGACGGACCACGAGTGAACTTGAGGAAGCCGTAGAAGGCTCAGAAGGAGTCGAAGATATTCCATCCAATCACATTTTGGTAGAGTATTCTAGAATTCCAATGCGTAGCTTCCTGATTGGATAACGCTAATAACCCCCTTTATGCGGATTGATGGACTGTAATGATAATTTCGTTGTTACTAAAAACTATAAATACCTGACAATTTTGTACTATAATTGACACTGTTTGGAATAATATTCCTTTTATTAGTCTTCTGTCTTCTTATTGTTACTTGGAAGTATATCAAGAAAACAACCTTTCAAGATATAACATTAACAAAATTTGAAAATGTGAACCATAGAATTTTTCTTCAATCGTTTAAAAGTGTCTAGTTGTTATGAAATTTTGTCACTGTTTTTGGTTCTTTAGTAGATAGTCAGTATAGGGAAGCAGAAAAGAGAAAGTCCAAAGAACACATTACGTCGGGAAATAGAAGCTGATATTAAAAGGACGAATAACAACTGGAAAGAACTGGAAAGGATTTCCCATGACAGGGTTAGATAGAGAATGCTGGTGGGCGGCCTATGCTTCTTCATGAGAAGTAACAGGCTTAATTAAGTAGGTGTATAAAACTATATGAAAAGTCTAAAACTAGGACAAATGCAACTATCTAATTCATTCCAATTTTCAAAATCTTTTAGTTTATATCAATTAATAATAAGAATTATCTTATCTAACCAACAACAAAAAAAGAAAGAAATGGATACATGCAATATATGACAGATTGAAAAGAAGTAAATGCATGATTTATTGATGATAATGGTTTATAACAGTCAATGATAGATTTTTCAGATTATATATATGTACATTATTTTATGAATAGATTGGTTGACATTTCTCCTTTATATTCACATATACTAATCTTCTATATACTGAAGTATCACAATGTCTCACAATTAGATTATCATTTCTAAAAGAAATAAACGTTTATTTAGTCAGTATTCATCAGTCTATTCTTTCGAATAAGTAATTGACTATAGTCAATTAATAAGCCATATGTTAATTATATATATATGCCAATAGTGATTTATAACTTTTAAGGGTTAGCTTATTACCTTATACGAATATTCGTCAAGATTAGAACGAACAGTTTGATAGAAATTGAGCGCCAAATATAAAGAAGTTATTATATGTGAAAATTATATTTGACATAATCTCAGCAATTGAAATTTAAAATAGTTCCAACGTTTCATCCAGCTAACTTGTCTGAACTTCTTCAGGGTAATAATCAAGTCAATAATTTTCACATATAATGACTTAGTTTAGTACTGTTTAGTAGTAAGTATAATTATGATACAAGAGAATAAAGTCAAAGAATTTAGGCCATATTAGTACAGTTCTGATGGTTTTATAGTTAACTATATTTATAGATTCTAAGTTTAAATAAATAGTGTTGTCATATAATTGATAATTAATTGTGGGGGATGCTACTGATGTCGACAGATATAAGTAGTATGTATGATCCATCAAGAATGAAATACCTGGAAGCAGAAGGTTAAGAAAATCAAAGAAAAGAAAACGACAACAAACAATAATTGATGTGGAAATGAAAGAACAATGAAGTCTGTGATAATTGATTGATATTTTAAAAAGGAATTATTTATTGTAAAGTTCTAATATATTCTATAATTTTGTATTCAAATATATTTAATTGTCCCTATTTTTGTTCTCATTCACTACAAATTTAATATTGTGTAGTGTACATGCTTTTTGTAAGAAGCTTAGTCTTAAGAAATATATCACTGTGTCAGTGAATGATATACACAGTTGTGTATAAAAAAGATTATACTTTCCTTGATGAATCTTAGATTAACTGTTCCACATCTTAAAAGAAGCACGGAATAAAATTGAATTAAATAGACGATTTGAACTTCGTAAATGACCTGAACGTTCTAACCCATACACCCGAGTAAATTCAGATGAAGTCATCCAGTGTAGCTGCAGCCTCTGTATCAGTAGACCTGAAAATACACAAGGGAAAACGAAACAATCACAGATCTAACATGGAGAACGCCAACCCAATCACACTTGATGGAGGAACTCTGGATGACATGCAAACTTTCACGTATTTGGTCAACATCATCGATGAATAAGAAGGATCGGATGAAGACCTAAAGGTAAGGATTGGCAAAGCAGGGACAGAATCCCTACAACTGAAGAACAAATGGAACTCAAAATAACTATCAGTTAGCCAACATCAAAGTCAGAATCTTCAATACGAACATCAACACGATTCTACTGTAGGGAGCTGAAACTACTGTAAACATCATCAAAAAGGTACAAGTATTTATAAACAGTTGTCTACGTAAAATACTCAATATCCGCTGGCTGCATACGATCAGCAACAGCCCACTGTGTGAGAGAACAAAGCAGCTTGCAGCCGAAGAGGAAATTAGAAGACTTTGCAGGTGAATAGGACATATATTACGGAAATCATCAAACTGCATCACGAAGTAAGCACTAACCCGGAGTCCTGAGAGGAAATGGAAAAGAGGAAGGCCGAATAACTCACTACGTCAGGAATGGAAAGCAGACATGATAAGAATGATTGACAAATGGAAACAAGTGGAAAGGATTGTCCAGGACAGGGTTGGATTGATAATGCTCATGGTCGGCCTATGCTCCTTCATGAGGAGTAACAGGCATGAGTAAATATGTTATAACATACAATGAGCGATGTTCTATTTTCAGGGAAAGTTTATCATTTATTATAAGCCGTAAACAAATTTCATCGTTTAAAGTTACAATTTTGCTATTTTTGAAAAAATTGAAAATTATTTAAGAAGTTATGTAATATTTTTGTTTAGTATTATGACTCTTGGTTGACATATTTGTTTATTTTATTTATTTTAACACATAGATATTGGTAAAAGGAGGCACCAAATACATATACGCTACACAGATCTCATTTGATATGTGTGAGGGCTGGAATACTGCCAGGGTGGCCAAACCGAAGCAGGTGGTTTACCTAGGAGTCCACAGTTGGAGCCTTCGACCTGAAAGTCTGATCCACAAGGCAGTGGAGCATAGTAAGTAGATTCAGTCCCATGGTAGACAGTGACCAAAAATTGGTTCATACGCCGTTTGTTCCCGCAGGATACTGGAGCCCATGTGCACCATTGGTTGACATATGTGTTTCCTATGTGGATTACGTCGATATAGTCTTTGAGAACACAAGTTTTAATATCAAAGATAGAACATGACTAACAGTGTAATCCCAAAAAGAATAAAAACTACGTACTCAATTCCATTTTTAACCATGTTTCATCAAAAAACAAAAAAAACAACCTTGAGGTAAAACCACTTTTTTTCAACAATGACAATTTAACACTTAGTTTAAGGTATTTTATGTGTAAAAAAAATGCACTTAAAGTTTGTTCTTAATTTAAAATAAAATTACAATCGGTCACTATTAACACAGACTACACAATCATAATCCTTTCAGCCTACTACCTAGAAACAATTTAATCTTTATTCACTAAAAAGACAGTAATTTTATTTAAATGAGGAAAAGTATGGAATCCCTTGATTATAGATTTTTTTTTTAAAAAGAAGGCGTAGAGAGTAATATTCATTTTCTAGAAACATCCACATTCAATTGTGTTGCTTTAATGATTGACCTTAAACAAACAAACAAAATAAGCGGATTTATTGAATTGTAGAAATGAGGTTAAATTAGTAATATGTAATAAAATCAATCATTTATTCTTCATTTTATAATAAGTAAATTCATTTATGATACATTGAATATAACAATGAACTGTTTTCAGAAAACTTTTAATTTAATTAAAGCGATATTATTTTTTTAGAAATATTGTTTACTTAAACTTTTTTTAAATAGATAAAAGATTAACGCTAGACCACCATAAAGAACCTAGAAGCACTGGACGGCCGTTTCGTCCTAGTATGGGACTCCTCAGCAGTGCGCATTTACGATCCTGCTTCCAGTGACATTCGAACCCAGGACCTATCAATCTCGCGTGCGAATGCTTAACCTCTAGACCACTGAGTCGGCCGGCATTCAATTGTGGTAATGTCTAATTTCAACCAATCTATTAAATTGAGTCCAGATTTCCATGGTGTTCTAGCTCATAATTTCAACTATTGAAATTTCTAAAATCTCCACAAAAAACTCCTTCTGAAGATAAAAGATTAATTGAATAATTCAATAAAACAATAAAGAAAAATGAATGAATATGAGATCAATAACCAATTTTGTTTTACCTGTATATAGAAAATATAAATTATTTGTTGTTTAGTTACATAACATAGAAACAAATATCAAGTTTTAATATGATAACTGAAAGATTATTTATTGAATATAAATAATAACAAATCATTGTATAATGAATGAGAACATAAATAGAGACAATTAAATGGATTTGAATAGAAAATTATAAAATATCTTAGAGTAAAATCTCAATAAATAATTCATGTGTAAAATATCAATCAATTAATTTATTTTGATGGATGATACATACTACTTATATCTGTTGATATCAGTGGTATACACCAAAATTGGTGATATACTGGAGAAATAAATGTTAACAAGAAACACTATAGACCGGTTATTTCATACTCATTAACTGTATACTAAAAGTTCATTTAATATTGTCTGTTTGATGTCTAGAACTTCAATTGGTCAGTCTCTTTTTGGCATGTGCACACCCTGTGCGGATTGCTTTGATATTGCTTTAATTCACAAGAATTATAAGCAAGGATAGATAATGGTTAGCAGTTGAATGCAGGACGCACGTTTTGTTCCAGTTAGGACTCGCCACCTAGGTGTACCTGTAGTTCAGAGTTGCTGTTTACTCTGGGACTCGAACCCAGTACCATTCACTTCAAACACTTTCGCGTTATCCACTTAGCGATTGAGTCTTGATAGCCACTAGTTTGTGCAGTGGGGTGAATTTTAAATTCAGTTGGTATTGTTTACATGAATGTTTCAATTGATGTATACTAACAGTCTGTATTAATATTTGAACAAGAGAGATATTCAGTTGTATTCTTCTTTTTTGGAGTCATGATTAATTTCTAAGAAATTTTCATCATGGATTGATATGAACAAGTGAATTAGAGAATATCAGAGGCTGCCTAATAGTTGCATAATTATCGTTTAAAGAGCTACGAATAACAATGTATAATATATGACAACAATTATTTATAGTCAAATGATACATAACTTTATTTGATGATTGTGTGTGTATTTTTAAATCTTAAAGAGTAATTTATTAATGAAACTTTTGTTTAGTTTATTGTAAAAGACGCAGGTTGTTTTGTACATATTCTTTGGATACCTTGTAACTGATGGGTCTTTAAAAAAACCCAAGTTACTTGATTATATTCTTAGTGTCAAAGCTATTCTATCAAGATACTATCTAGTAGACCGGATAGAAGTTGGTTTAATATTTAGTAGTAGTAGTAGTTTTAGTAGTAGTAGTAGTTTTAGTAGTAGTAGTAGTAGTAGTAGTAGTAGTAGTAGTAGTAGTAGTAGTAGTAGTAGTAGTAGTAGTAGTAGTAGTAGTAGTAGTAGTAGTAGTAGTAGTAGTAGTAGTAGTAGTAGTAGTAGTAGTAGTAGTAGTAGTAGTAGTAGTAGTAGTAGTAGTAGTAGTAGTAGTAGTAGTAGTAGTAGTAGTAGTAGTAGTAGTAGTATATAGTATATAAGTAGTAGTAGTAGTAGTAGTAGTAGTAGTAGTAGTAGTAGTAGTAGTAGTAGTAGTAGTAGTAGTAGTAGTAGTAGTAGTAGTAGTAGTAGTAGTAGTAGTAGTAGTAGTAGTAGTAGTAGTAGTAGTAGTAGTAGTAGTAGTAGTAGTAGTAGTAGTAGTAGTAGTAGTAGTAGTAGTAGTAGTAGTAGTAGTAGTAGTAGTAGTAGTAGTAGTAGTAGTAGTAGTAGTAGTAGTAGTAGTAGTAGTAGTAGTAATAGTAATCAAACTTTAAATATATAGTAATGGCTCAATAAAATCCATTTAGAGCAATAATTAATATAAATTTTCAACTAAAACTAATTTATTCTGAATAGGGAAGGTTTTTTTTAAGAGCTACGTAAGATAATTAGTTTTTCAATTGGTTTAATCAATTGATACTCTTAAGTAGCAGTGAATAATGTTAATACAAACCCTTAGGAATATAAATAGCTTTCTTAAATATTTAAGATACACTTTATTAATAAGAGTTAAATATCATGTAATCTAAATACAGTAATTCTTATAACTATCTAATAATGAATATACAAGTGAATATGTTCCTAACTGAACAGTAATTACTATACAGTTTATGAGTATTAATAATGTTTACTTAATTACTATGAATAAATGCCTGTTATAATCTATGTAACGGAAACAACAAAACGAAACAACCATCCAATGCTTCTAAGTTTTCAATGGTGATCTAACATCAATCTATTCATGATCTCAATCAAAAACTTAATAAAATCTTCATAACCCTATACTGATAAAAGAAAAGTACACACACACACACATACAATCTCACCTTAATGTTTTCAATTGAATATTTTTTCCATCAAATGGTTCAAAAGTTAATGCTTCATTCCAAACTGGATTTAAACATTGTGGTCGTGTTGATGTACGTGGTGTTGTACTATTATGACTTGTTGGTAATAATTGACATACAACATAAGGATCAGATAAACCATTTGCATCCATTGCAATTAAATTCTAAAATAATATAAATAAAAATAGAATAGAATTGATATACATTATATATGTATTATGATTTGAACAAATGAAATTAATATAGTTACAATGTTTTACTAAACAATCTTTTACAAGTTTCTTGGATAAACTAATTACAATTATCACATATCAATGAAATCAAAAACTCTTTCTTTTTCCAATAAACAATGATTGATTTATATTCACATAATAATTCGAATCTCGCGGAGGAGGAGATCGTGGATGCACACTAATGAGGAGTCCCACAATAGGACGAAACGGCCGTCCAGTGCTTCTAGGGTTTCCATAACTTCAGCTGACTCATGATGTTAACCATTGAAATTTGACTTTATTAATGTGTACATTAATTATCTATTACGTAACATATCAAAATTGTTGCATGCAATGATATATTCTCATGCATATATTATCTATAAATTACTTTGGTAATTTCATATGACCTAAGCCTATGACTAGATTATTCTAAACTTCAATGTCATTATAAATACAATGAGTTTTTGTTAAGGTATCTATTGGGTGAAAAATAAGGATAAAATTGTTTGTTTATATGTTGGCAATATTAAACAGATGTATTACAAAAACGAAGTGTAATAACTACCTAAGCAGTCGAATGTATGTTATTGTTGTTGTTGTTGGTGATGATGAAGAGTAAGAAATAGTTATTTAATACAACTTTAATTATTTAATAGTTAATAACTCCAAAATTACATCTAATGACACATTATCCTGTCTACTGACATTATTTGTCCATATTTGTAATACTTCTCTGGTCCACCAGGGTGCTTGATACCTATGTGGTCGCGCCACAGGAATGAGATGTACTATTCAAATTGTAGCGTTAAAGCATACATAGTGTCTGGTTCTCCTATGAAGCGGAGTTGAGTTGTACTGCTCGGGTTATAAAGTTTAAACCTGAATGGTTTCTGGTTCTCCTGGAAACGGGATTAAGCCGTACTATTTGGGCTACAAAGTTTAAGCCTGTGCGGTGTCTGGATCTCCTGTTAAACGAGATTGAGCTGTACTGATCGGGTTGTCACGTGAAAGTCTGAATCGTGTCTGGTTTTCCGGAAAACAAATGTAAAATAACCTTGGCCAAAAAAGGTATATTATATAACTAACTGTGTAAGGCTTCTCTGGTTAGATTTTATTTATTGGACAATGAGCCTTTTCCAAGTTATCCAAAATTTGTTGTGTTTCCTGTTTCAAATTAATATAATAGTATTGATGATGTATTCTGCAATGCTCTATGGTCTACTGAGATCTTGGGACTATGTTCTAAGCACTGTTCATGTTTAATCATCGTTACATTCAATGGTATTTGTGTTTCCACTACGGATACGTCATTAAAATTACAATATTTAATTTGGCAGACGGAGTTTTACTGTTTCTCACTCTGTTTCTTTCATTTTTTAATCAACACATCTTGTTTTGTTTGCCTTATGGGATTACATGCAAATTCACTACCAGTTTCCCAGTCATTAATATTCATAACTAGTTAGAGAAAGCATATTAATGTAGCTCCACCCATGAAAACAATTTCATAAAATGTGTACCAATATACTAATTGCCATTTATTTTTTTATAGTTTAGATCACAAATGAAGTATTGGATAGCTGTTCTGCCTTAGTATGAGACTAAGCAACTTGTATTTATGATCACATCGTGTTATATCGATTCTTAGATTGTTGGTATTGTACAACTGTTCAGTGCTTCCTGGTTTCTAATGACTGTCAGTCCGTAATTTAAACTATCAAAATTTTACGATCTCTATAAAACTCGTTAGTGATATAACTTATTTGTTAATTTCAAACGTCAGTCAGTCAGCTATAAAGTAGGACCAGGCACATATGTACATCGGCCCAAGTTGCCATACATCATTTACTTGAATAAGATTCTCGTTCCATGATGAATAAAAGCCATACACACAACGTTTTATAGCATATCTTGGACACATTTATCATCAGATGACTCAAATCCCTACAGTTAATAAAATCCACATTTGAATATAACTGAACAGAACAGGATATTACTCGAATATATCTATTTTTGATGACTAACTTCCATAGAGTTTAAATCAAAATCACCATTAAAACACTCGAAGCACTGAACTCCTCAGTAGTGTACATCCAATACTCTTAGGTATTCAGTGGTGGTTTGTGAACATTTTGTAATCTTCACAAAATCCTATACTGACGATTTTAATTTTGATTATTTCCCTGAATAGGCTTGAACCAGATTGTCGAACAATATGTGTACTGGGTATCACGCATCCCCTAAAAAATCAATCTTGATTTCATATAATGATCCAAGATCATATTCATTCATTGAAATCCAGTGTACTTTCGTTTTATAAAATAACTTAAAGTGAATTCTATCCATTGACTTTCAATGTATTTTCAATTGTAATTACTTATTCGATTATCAATCCATTTTTCTCTACCTTGACTATTTCACTTCGATTTTGTGTCCTATAATAATTACTCAGTGGATAAAATCCTGTAAATAATAATTATTGAATCAATTTATAACTAAATGATGATGCTTCCCAGGTACGTGAAGGATTTCACATCTTCCAGAGTTTCGCCATCAAGTGTGATTGGTTTGATGTTCGCCGTGTTGTATTTAAGGACCTTGGTTTTCTCCTTGTGTATGTTAAGGCTTATTGATGCAGAGGCTGCAGCTACACTGGTTGTCTTCATCTGTATTTTTCGTGTGTATGGGATAGGAGGTCTAGGTCATCTGCGAAGTCGAAATTATCTAATTAGTTCTGAGCTGTTCATTGTATTTCGTGTTTTCTCTCAGATGACTAGGTCTTCATAATCCAGTTGACCATCAGATGAGAAATAATAGCTTAATACATAAAGGTTTCAATGAAGATGTTATGTCATTTCAATGTATGTGCTTCTTTAAAAATATAATTTCGTGTTTAGCTGAATCCATATACTGTAAAACTATCTTTCTTCTCATGTAATTCACAATAGCTTTTGTTAAAAAAGTCAATTGACGACATACAACATACATAATTATAAAATATATATGAAATTTAATCTATAACAAACAACTTACTTTAGCTTTGTGAATAGCTACATGAAGTTGTTTATTCAATGTATCATGATATAATGTAAAGTAGAGTACACCGAATGGAGCTAATGGTGATTGAATGAGATAAAGATAAAACAAAATGTTATTAGTTTTGACGGGAAAATAATAATTACTCAATTCTATATGAAAATTTCATAATATGTATGTACAGCCTATTCACTATATGTTTTTAAAAATTATACTTCTTTATGCTTTTGGTTGCATTAATAGTTGTGAACAATGATTTAGGAGATAAAAGTCATTTATAGTAGTAGTAGTAGTTACATCCTAGACTATTGAAATCCTAGAGGGAATGTCAGTTTTCTCAAAGTTACGGATACACCTTAGTAATGAGTGTCGAATAGCATAAAAAATAAATCCATGATGTCCAACCGACTATCTCCAACTGCCTAACATCTGAACACAGTGCATATAATGTCAAATCATTTGGACTAGTGGACAAATTACAAGTTGATTGATAGAATTCGACCAATAATAAAGGACTAGACAAACATGACATTAGTCACAACTTAGTGGGCGATAAATTATATTTATTATTCTATCGTTAGTTGCTTATCAGCTATGCGTAGCTTAAACGTTGAATGACTGGTAATGTTATGAATTAAAGTATTATGTACTTGAGTTAATAAAAAATTCACCGACTATCTGATTAATACACTCAAGAAAACACTTATTCTTATCATTATCATTTTTGCTTATGAATTATTCTTTCTTACTTGATTTGGATCAATCTCCACAAATAAATAAACATCGAAATGAATTACATTGTGAATTGTCACTCTTCTGACTTCTTTCTTATCTCATTACAAACTTTTGTATTAATTTCATTTGCTAAAGTATGTTAATCATTTATCGCAGTAAAGTTGAATAGTAGCTAGTAGTAGAATCCAGGACTTGTGTTTCGTCTTATTTAGACTTGTCATTTGGATGTACCTGGATCTTAGTGTTGATGATTACAGTGGAAATCAAACTCGATACTTTTCTTTTCAAAGCCCTAAAATGTTGCTCACTGAACTGCTAGATCCAATTAGTCATTGCTTGTGTAACGTGAATGAATTTAGTATGTGAGTGTTTGTATCTTATTGTTTTGAAAATAATCACTTTATGATAAACTTGTGAATTCGTGGCAAGATCTTGGAAATCCACTAAGAATGCACACATCTCAGAAAGAGACTGACCACTTGCAGTATTTAATATCAGTGGGAAGATACAAACACTCATAAATCATTTATTTACTCGTAAATTTATATACCCTATGAGAAGCTTTGAAATGGGGTCAACGATACGTTTTTAATTCAACTTGACCGACTATTTTAGTTTGTTCAGTAAATATCATTATTTACATTATTATCATCCTTGCATTATGTATTTATGGATTCCAATCTTCATTCAAATCCCGTCATTGCTGAGGGAGTAAAGTGATCATTTGATGTATGTGAAGTAGAAGGCTTTACATCAATTAGTCAGTCAGCAACAACGTAGAACTTCAATACAGACATCTAGTCAATAGTATTATTACAATTAGAAATCATCAAAGATATATGCATGGAATGTTTCAAATTTTGATAAAAAGGACGTGTAAACGCTAGAGTATTTCAAATATCAAACACTGTTTTTCACACTAATTTTATTACGTAATTAATTTAAGAAGTTAAAAACACACCATCTAATCAACGTAAGTTTATTAATATTCCTTTGAAGTTAATAGACGCTTGTGGCACCTGAATTTTCTCCATTTACCTCGGACTTACTTTAGCACTACAAGTTGATGTAACTTGTTGAATGTTACCTCTGTAAATCGTTTTACATGAAATGAGACTTTTTTTTTTCTTCAAAAAGTATAATTATAAAATTACCTTCTTCACTTGAAGATACAGTTGAACGTCGTACTGTAGACGTGGCACCCGATGATGATGGAAGAAGATTGGATGGTTCTTTTTCACCTGTTAAACTTACAACTTTTTGTGTAGAATTGGCATTAGTAAATGAAGAAGCTAATGCAGAGGCTGTCGAATGATTAACACTTTTATTAGATGCAAATGAAGGATGAAATGATTGTGCTGAAACAGGTGACTGTGGTCTCCATAATGAACTAGTATTTAGTGAATCGGATAAAAGACATGAGGCCGGTGAGATATCTTGACTAGTCATAGTTACAGGCGCATTTGTATATGTTGGCGAGTTTGATTTGGGTACATCAACAGTGCTTTGATCAGTTGGAGTATATGGAGAATGTTCTGGAGATTTCGAAAATCCCTTAGATATTCCACGTAATTTCGTACTTGACGTAACTATGGTAAGAAAAAACATCATCTTCATTCAGCAATATTCAATATTTTACAATTAAATTTGTTCGAGTACATTTGAATTAAGGACAAAATTTAGTAACAAGATATGTTGAATATTCATGAACTTTTATATGGTTGGACGTACTTTTGTAACATTAAGGTGGACTGAATAACTAAATTTTAAACAACTGTGAGACTTTCTGTCTGTTTATAAAACCATGATAGATAAATATAGAGAATAAAACCACCTAAATAAATGTTCTAACAACTGACTGATTACCATGAATACAAATTTTCGTAAGTCCACAGAATGATTCTTAAACTCTATGCCAAAACTCATTAGCTTTGTTCTCAAAGTTGATTAATCTGACAGTACACTTTCAACAGCATTCATTAATATATGTCTTTTCAAAACTTATAACTAGAATAAATTATATAAAAGTTAGTTATAGTCACTTTGTATTTACAACTGTTTAGCGATTGCGTGGTAACCAATTTCATGTATCCGGTTCTCTCGTTACTTCTAGAAAGCTACAAATTACATTTTAGGTAACCTAAGTGACATACACTATGTTGAAACTTTAGATGGATGGAGTTAGTCAACAAGAAACTTCGGAACTTGGTTTCGTGTTAGTGCTTAATACCATAATCCTACTGAAGGTTAATTGCAAACTGAATAGCTCAGTGATAATATCTTATACTGTGAAGTTGGGTAACGCTAGTTGTAATGTCACAGGGAACACCAGTTTCCTCAAGTTTACAGGTATATCTTATTGATAAGTCCAGACTAACACAAAAACATATGCCTATGCTTCTTGTCCATTGTCTTCAATCATTAAATAAGTTAATTTGTATGGATTTATTATTTCATCTTATATAAAATATTTACCCATGTGACTTATCAAGGAATAAAAATATTAATTACTACTTCCGGTTGTAAAAGTAACACTTAATCTAAACATTTTAATGGGTATCTTATGAAATATATTTGTGAAGTTGTTAATTTAATATCACTTATTGAAATTTATCTTTCTAAACGATTTGATTTCATTTGAAAAGTAAAGATAGTGTTGCATAATGACAGTGAAGTTTACACAATATTCTCTGTTGTCAGTGTTGTGACTTTTGATGTACGTTAAATATTACGTGACCTATTCGCTAATCAGAATATGACATACAATCTTCGCACTGTGTCAAACCAATGACGTATTGACCGATATAAGCAGCCTAACATCCTTATTGGTCCTTTTTCTTGCCTAACCTCTCCTGTTGAATTCAGAACATCGATCTTAGCCACTGCGATATGAATCATGTAGTTCAAACATAGTGAGTTTATATACAAATCAAACAGACCACACCAAAACATAAAATAGGAGATAACATTTGTACAATATCTAGCCGATCTGGTTCTTCTATCGCATACGCAACAACAAATTCAGGAGAAGACGACTAGTGTAGCAGCAGTCTCAGTAGTACTAGGTTTCAACATACCCAAAAGTAAAAGCAAGATTATCTGATACAACACAGCATGCATCAATCGAATCAAACTTGATGGCGAAGATTAGGAAGATGTAAATCCCTTACATATCTGGGTAGCATCATTGATGAACACGGTGGATCTGATGCAGATGTGAAGAGGCGGATCAGCAAAGTAAGAGTAGCATACCTACAACTGAAGAACATCTGGAACTCAAAACAACTTTCAAACAACACCAAAGTCAGAATTTTCAACACAAATGTCAAGAAAGTTCTGCTGTGTGGAGTGGAAACCTGGAGAACTACAGAAGCCATCAACCCGAAGATACAAGTGTTTATTAACAGTTGTCTACACCAAAATACTTCGGATCCGTTAGCCGGACACTATCAGCAACAACCTACTGTGGGAGAGAACAAACCAGATCCCAGTGGAGGAAGAAACCATGAGGAAGCGCAGTAAGTGGATAGGACTGTGTCACAAGGCAAGTCCTCGCAAAGAACCTTGAAGAGCAGTGGAGAAGAGGAAGACCAAACATTACATTACGTCGAGGAATGAAGACACACATGAAAATCCACATGATGTTAATGAAAAGAGTAGTTCAGATTATTTAGTTATTTTGTTATTCCATGTTAGTGCTTGCTTTGAATGGATAATCTCGATGACATTGTCCTAATTCATATTTCTACAATGACATTTACTACCAGTTGATTGGTTGTCATCGCCTTTTATTTTGCCTTGTTATGAAACCCAAAGTCATTGAATGTTACGATAAAAACGTTTTTTCTAATTTTTTAAATTTTTGACTTCTGTATGGAATATGAGGTTATCCTAAAAGTCCTATATTCCCCATTAGAGGGTGGATTTTTAACGTTTAAACGTAGTTCCATGATAGTCAAGATTTAACAGACGATGATGATAGAAATACTGTCAAACTATATAATATACTAGATTGGATATAGTCATGTTACACAGTAGTTTTTTGATGTGGAGATTGACTAGTGATTAAGAAAATTTTGAATCAACCAGTTTCCCATCATGAATATGAATTGTTGAGAAACAATTACAAGAATGGATCAATTTTCGAGCGATGAAAATTTGGCTAAAAACTAAAATTCGAAATCAGGATTCATCAGAAAGCATATACACACATCAATTTAGTGAGCTAAATGAAAATCATACATTGCAAAGCTTAGATAAAGTTAATAAATTTTATGCTACAGATGATACATAGATCGTTGAATAATTCATCAAAGGCGTTCATTTCTTCCTTCAAAATTATACCGCTAGAACTCTAGAGGACATTTCCAGAAGTTTATCTAATCACTTTATATTGCATTTCAAATCAGAAAATTACAAATCTATCCCTGTAAGCATAATAAAGATTGACAACTTTTAAATCGGACAGGAGAAGCACTTACTGTAGACTTGTTTTCTAAGCATTATGTATTCTTTGATAATTTTGATTTTAATCATTACCTTGTAGAAGTCTAGACCAGTTTATTAGAAGGAACATTAGAATAATTTAAATTTCAGTCTTTGAGATTATTTTAAAAAATAAGGTTTGCTAAATACTCAATGCCTGATTTCTATCAAACTGTTCTTTTGAATACCCAGAAACATTCTCTCAGATTCCTACTATTATATGCTCTGGTACGGTCAAGAGTGGAGAGGGCTCTCCCTTCCTTTAGAAATGCTCTCACACGGCCACGCGTATACAGCCTCTGCCAGAGAAGTCCTACTCACTGCCTTCTCGTCACACTACTGTTGTTTACGAAATTGAGAGAACGAAAAGCAAATGTCCGGCACTTTATCCGGGCCAGTGAACACGGTCAGTTCACCTAGTGGAGTTGGGAACCTCCGAATCCAAATTAATGGTGCACATGGGCTCCACTATCCTGAGGGAACAAATGGTGTATGAACCAGTTATTGGTCACCGGCTACCATGGGACTGCATCACCTCACGATGCTCCACTGCCTTGTGAGTAAGACCTTTAGGTCAAGGGCTCAGGGTGTGGTCCCCTAAGAAAACCATCTACTTTGGTTTGGGCACCCGGGCATTATCACAGCTCACACACAAATGAGATGAAATGACAGTATTTATCTCAATTAATCATCAAGTGACTGATCCAACCATTATTTTTACATGCTGAAATATAAAAAAATTGCATTCAACACTATAATTAAAGAAAATTGTTTACACAATTCACTGGAATAGTAATCACTATGCATCAATATGAAATACACAAAGAATAACCGTCGATAACAACTGTTATTATTATTGCGATGTATGCTACTGATGTTTGCAGATATAAGTAGTATATAACAAAAATCAGAAATGGAATGTCTACGAGCAGAAAGTTGAGAAGTTTGAAATGAAGAGAAGAGAGAAATGAAATTGTGAAAACAATGAATATAACAACAGAAATGAAGTAACCACGAAGCTTGTAAATGACAATTCAAAGGTATGTAGATGATGTGGTTGATGTATTTTTTTCACATTTTGCTAAACCATTGTATTGATTGGGCACTGAATAGTTAATTGGTCTTCTCACCTGAGTTCTCGTTTATTAGATGATCATTTAATGAGTAAGTTTTATTTACCAAAGAATGTGATGAATCACTTAATTAATTTGCATAATTTACATGATTATTTCAATATTCAACTTTGAAGAATGAATGAAATAATTGACATATAAAGAACCTTTCCATTTAAATGTTCTAATGAAGATTTTAATTATGCTTAACGTATAAACTGTCTAACAGCAGGAAACTTATTCATGTTTTATATAAAATCTAATTTAATTGTGCATTACCTTTGACAACAATGCTCAGTTAAGTACATTATGAAGTACACCAAAAGATGTTTTATTGTTACGATCTACTATTTTTCGAACTATACGATGATTAAATCCAGCTGGAATATTTCTAATTTTTCATGTAGGATCAAATTAAGTGACCACAAATACATATCAGGTAGATTTAACTAATAGGCAATCAATGTAACCAGTGAATTTTAATCAGTTTTTATATGAACTAGTTGCATAACTTTATCAGAATTCTTTGAAGAGTACATAGAATACCACGTCTTCTGAAACATGAATTAAGGCTCTGAATATAATACTATCTAACTAATCTCGATTACTAATTGTTAAATTTCATATAAAAAATGCAGTGGAAATCTGTTGACAACAATCAAAGGTATCGGTTCGATTAATCTGGTTTTTGTAATCTTAGTTCCTGTAATTGTTGAGTAATAACCAATTAGCCTGGAAGAGAATATTTAGCATCGAACGAGTTTTAAAACAAAAGCTTATCATACAACCGCGGAAATTAGCTGTATTCCTTGATCCAAAGATGAAATTCAGCCATATCTATCAATTGGTCTTGTAGTGGTGTTTTTTTACAAATAGGTGAACCAAAACTATTTGCTTCCCTACTGATTGCAATTGATAAACACGACTGAGCATGATGACATAAAGGGTGACACTTTGAGATGATGCTTATTTGTGTTACGTCTAAATGTATTTATGACTATTTGACTAAATGACTCTATATGTGATTTCTATGATGTATTCAAATATTTATTGTTGTTCAAACAACGTGTATTCTCTTCCACTAATAGGTATAGAGACCGGTAACAATATATATCCCTAATGATGATATAGCAACACTCCTACGATTAATTTTGATTATAATTAGATTTTGTTAAGCTTTTTTTGTTAACTTATTCAACAGACAATGTTATTCGTACAATAACAATTCGTCTCTTTCTTTGTATTATTATGATCACTATCATATCTGTTTAATCGTGTATGCTTGATCATATGTAACAGCCTACACACATATCCTTTTCTAGCTTAAATGTTAATCGCTCAAATATCGTCCGATAAATTATTCTCTTTTTCATGTATACATGTGCTCAAATCTCATTAATTGCCTTTGCTCTGCCTAGCTGCTCCTTGATTCGATTTGACTGCAAATTCGCCACTGTAATCGCTCGCACACACACATTAACCTTTCTTTGTAACTTTGTTATCTGTACTATCTGCTAACAAACTGTAGTCGCCGCTTCTTATTGCCTTCTAAATCTAAACACCATCAGGATCTATATAATAACGGTTATCAAAGCTAAGCTACTATCGTGTTATTATATTTCTTCTTAAGATAGGTGAAATCATTAAATATAAGTACTCATTAAATAATATTAATTCAAAAGCTTAGCAACCAGTGTATGATATAATTTATTTCATTTAATTATGCGTTATTTTTATCTTAAGACTAAAAACTTTGTTTCATTTTCTCTTGTGTTAGCGACCAAATCCCGTAGAAAACTAACTCACTATAAAAACACTATCCAGAAAAAATAACTCAAACCATTTAAACTCTGCCCTGGGAGTTAGAAAGTCTTCATTTAGAAGAGTTATGATGCCTCATGTTGAAAGCCGAGTTCCTTCGGAAGTCACGAGGCTGATGTCCATTCGGACAACCAGAAAAACCATTAATTTAGGCAAATGGAATGCTCGTACGATGTGAGAGACCTGGAAAGTCATCCAAATTGCTACAGAAATGAAAAGACACAACCTGGAGCTGCTTGGAATCAGTGAAAAACATTGGACACGTGTTGGACAACAAAGACTAGTTTCAAGGGAGCTGCCGTTATAATCCGGCCATGAAGAAGAAAATGCTTTACATACACAAAGATTTGCACTGATACTATAAGCTTTTGAAAAAAAAATGTAACAAACGTAAACAATTTACAAGATGAATTAAACTTTTCACTTTAACAATTCGATAAAATCGTCATCAGTAATGGTATTTAAATGTATGATGGAAACTATAACTTACCTTCATTTTGTGGTGTATCTTTGCTTGTACTCGGTAAAGGTGAGCTATCAGCTTCTGATCCTTCAGGTTTAGAAGGTCGTCCTTAGAAATAAACCATAAATTGTTATAAAAATAAATTTCATTTAATTTTTAAATTATTTCTTATTTTAAATAATAAATAAATTAGGAGATTTGTAGATATCATAGTAATTTCAATGGTTAAGATCATGAATTAATTGAAGCTAGACCACCATGAAAAACCTGGAAGCACTATACGGCCGTTTCGTTCTATTGTGGGACTCCTCAGCAGTGCTTCATCACGATCCCACCTCGCAAGATTTGAACCCAAATCCATAATAGGATGAAACGGCCGTCCAGTGCTTCCAGGTTTTTCATGGTGGTCTAGCTTCAACTGACTCATGATTTTAATCATTGAAATTACTATAATATCCACAAAACCCATCTGATAATTGACGTTTGACATTGTGTTTGTGTTTAACAATGTAAATCATGCTTCTCAATTACCTTACTAGTTTACGGAAGCACATGTTAATGTTAATGTCAACATAATGATTAATCCTACAACTTAGACCTGAAAACTTAGGGATTATGGAGCAACCGCGAAGGTCACATTCAGGAAAGAAACATAGAGACTCAAGTATGCCGAAAGACGACCGCCAGAGATCGAATTCTCAACCCTAGAACTCAAAATCGAGTGCTTAGAAACTTTAGTCAATGTGATGAAAACAGACTGCACCACACAGTTCGAGAAAATGAAAAAAAACCGATGACTATTCTTAAAAAAGACGGTTACCCGCGCAATTTCATAAAGAAATATCAGCCCATCTCATCGGCAGAAATGAAAGGAAATATAGAAACCAACAAACAGATCATACTATCATATATGAAACGAGATTAGTAAAGCCATTTGGAATACGTGTAGCTCCTGAATTAGCAATATCACTTTAAATAATCCTATGCAATCCAAAGGAAAAAATGTAAAAAGAAGAAAAACAGAACATCATCTACAGAATAAACATTCCTAACTAAGAAAACGCCGTAACAAACAAAGTATACACCCACTTCATCTTTCTCTGTATGTACATCAATTATCGGTCAAACTCCATGATATATCTTCGCTTATATCAATGCATGTGGACAACTTTGGACTCACTTTCAAGTGGAAAAATGTTGAAATCGTGGACAGAGGTAATGTTAAAATTATCAGAGAATTTTTAGAAGCTTAGCATTCAGGTTAAACAACAAGCACATCAAAATTGATCTGAGCTACTAACCAGTCAGAAAAATCATGAACAAATGTACTATCAAAATCAAATCAAAGGGAAATACAATCAAAACAAAGAGGTAGACAATGACAGGTTAATGATCAACAATAACCAACCAAGATCGAGGTCGACAGGTCAAGCTATGAGTCATATGATGAGAAATTTCAACATTGCACGTCTATCTGAAATTTGTGCTTATGATGTTGTTCGGAAGAACAATAAAAGCTTCACTACTTAAGCATCCAGCTCAAAGAACGAAACTCCATCAAATAAAAGAAATTTATCATAAAGCACGGAAAAATGATTGTGGAAAGTCCCAGACAAACAATTGTTAATAGAAAATCCGTCTACATCTGGCTTACATTCACAGATGAAGAGATATCAGGCAGGATTGATAAAAGGATTAAAACAGATTTAAAGAGAAGCTATCCTGCAGCTCAGCTATTTTCTGTGTATAACACCTGATGTACCTCAAATCAGTCAAAGTGGATCATTACCGTTCTGATGTCATATTTGAATGTATTTACGAATTCACTTGTGCTTGTGGAAGCAAGGAAATAAGAGGAGCTATAGAATAGCATATTTAGGATTTTCGGAACGAAGTCTCCTGAGTTGTATCTGAAGAGAAGTAAAATATTCACAGGTGCGATTACTAAATATTTAAAAGATAGTGTATACAACGTAGAAATCTCATAAGCCTTTAAAATAATTAACAGACAATATACACAATCCGCTATGTAGAGCCCATTTCCATCAAGTGCTTTCGATCTAATATATGTTGGTCAGAATCATTCAACATTCAAGTGTTCTTTATGTATTGTACATATTTTTCTATTGATATAGAAGACTGATCATTAAATATTACGATAACTGTCATCAAAAAGGTAAAAGTATTTATAAACAATTGTGTACGCAAGATACGAAAATCATCAAATTGCATCACGAGGCAATCGCCAACTTGGAATCCTGAAGAGAAACGGAAAAGAGGAAGGTTGAAGAACACACTACGACCGAAATTAGAAGCGGATATGAAAAGAGTGAATAGTAACTGGAAAGGATTGTCCAAGACAGGGTTGGATGGACAATGCTGGTGGTCGGCCTATGCTCCTTCACGAAGGGTTACAGGCGTAAATGAGTAAGTCATCAGCATGTACTATTTGGTATTAAAAGACAATAATGACCTGACTATCTAAATGAAATCGGTTATAGCACACTGTCAGTACATCGAATTTAAATGAGTTAATGAATATGTAAAATACGTATAACTAGTTTATGGATAAAAACCACTAAGGTTATTACGAAACATATTTACGCAAGTATTAAGCTCAATAATGTGGACTATTCTTAGATAGTCAATTCACTTTATTATTTGAAAATAACTCTTTAGTCAATGAGATTGCTAGATATAGAAGATTACTTAGTCTTGACGAACTGTTTTCAGTGTGTTACAAAAGGAAAATAAATACAAATTTTTATAACAAAGTTTTCTGAATTATTTCCGAGGTTCGCTTCCGTGATATTATCACAAAAGACTGAGTTTGATATGAAATTAGTTTTTTACCAATCAAATTTAAGGTGATGACTAACCTACTATAGGAAGAAAGATCGTTACGCTAATCAGTCAGCGAGTAACAATCATCACCATTATGTCTAATCATTAGTAGTGACCGTATTTCTGGATCAATTTTATGGTATGTTGATTATCTCAACCCGATTAATATTAACTCATTTAATTTAATTGCTATTTATCAAACTTCCTTATTAGAATACTATCAGCACAAAAGGATCTGACAACATAATATTGTTTACTACACACTAATTGCTTGGCATAAAGTTACGTTCGAATAAACAAATACTATTGTAATTTAAAGTTATATAAGTTATCTAAGAAACAGGTATTCAATGGGATAAACTGCACTAATAAAGAAGATAGATAAAACTCTAATAAGTTGTTGAATATATTGTATGATAGGTAAGGAATATCTTATACGTGACATTACTAATAATAACAGGAAGAAGAAAAGCACGGGTTTATCTACAGGCGTTGGTGTTAAGTTATTACATGTAAGTTCTTTTTAGTGGCCCTATATATGACTGTCATTAATTTGTATGAATGAGTGTTGTCAAAATATACATCCTGGCTATCCACGTATATAAATATCGACTTAATCCATGTTAGTGAATAACGGAACCAAATAGGTCAAATACGAGAATGGATATATAAATACGTATATTTTGTACACTCATTGATTTGGATGGATAGTCAGAGGGACGAAGCGATGGATGTGAAGATAAGAGAACGAAGCGAAATGACGAGCAATGGAAAAGGCGTGTGAACCAACTCGATTTAATCAAGCGTTGATCAATACAAAAATTACAGATATGTGATGAGTAGGATAAGACGTGTGCACATATATGCTCATATAAAAACAGTCAAGATTGATAGGTGAATAATTAACAAGGTCATAATGTGACTCAAGAAGAATGATTGAATTGACCTATACAGAAGTCAGAATAAGTTACTTGGGCTCAATATAGTAACCGACACTACATCTTCACGGATTATATATTAAGTCTTTCTGTTATATTTCACCTAAAATTAACTAGGGCATATAAAATTGTGTATACTTTATTGTATAATCATAAAAACTTACGGTTTGGTTTTAATTGTATCCATTGTTCTGATTCATTATCAGTATGTTCAATATGACTTTCGTTATTTGTATTAATTTGTAGTGGTTTTACAAGGTCTGTTATATCATTAAATATTTGACAATTATTATTAGCAGGTGTTGATGATGGACTAGATGGACAACTTGTCATACGACTACGTGGAAGACTTTTATAAAACCATGCACCAGAACGTTTCCAAATCTTAAAAGAAATATATTTTTTTTCAGTTAATGAAATAATAATGATCATCAATAATTAAAATTGATATAATAAACCGTTTTCATAAAAGGTATATTTATTTATTCGTTGCATCGATGAATACTGCTCCTCTGAAAATGTATTGAATGGTCTGGCACCTGTAAGTGTATCTCATTCCACAAGTAGTATTATAGGAACTTTGAATGTTTAGCCATTTTTATTAGTACATTCCCTAAGGAAAACCACCTACTTGCTGTCACTTTATGTTAACATCGTCCATAGCAAGTTTAACTAATTTGAATAACCTCAACAGTATGTCACCGGGTCACATGACACATGCATTTAGGCAGACCTGATTGACATATTTTGGTAATTACTGCTTTGTTTTTCCGTGCTCTGTGTTTTCGTTTTATTTTTTCTCTAGTTGTAGATAATTATGATTAATTCGATCTGGCATATGAATTGACCTTAATTACTCCGTTCATAAATCAACAGGCTGTCCATTTAAGAAATATTAAAAATTCCCGGCTGATGCATTGGATCGCTGTAATATATGTACTACTTAAACAACTACTGAACTAGTATACTTAAGACTTTCTTTTATCACATGTTTGTTCTGTACATCTAATGTTACTATTTATATCAAATTGATCATGCCTGTAAACTGGCATGAATTCTATAATTATTATTTTCAGAATATATAAATTATTACTGTTTCTTGTTATGTATTTGTATGATAACATAAGTAAAAATACTATATGAGCAAACAATAAATATGTACTGTGTTACTGAAGGAATCAGTTTATGAGATGAATTTATGATTATCTAATGCCATTAGTATTGACTTATAGAATTCTCAATATGGTTTAATTCTCATAAGAATGTTGGAAATTTATATCAGGGTTAGTTACTGAGAAAAACAGTCGTTTATTATTTTCGTAGGTGTTATAGGAGTTATAGAGACTAATTCACTCTGAAGATAGTTTTCGTTATGAACTGAAACAATTAGGTATTACTGGACTAGATAATCGGTGGGAAGTACCATCGTTTTTGATTTGACATTTCTGAATCCGATTGAGTATACAGTTGTTAATAAATACTGTCTAAGATGAACGAACTGGCACAAATCATTTATCTAAAATAGATATTTCATTTTAAAAAATGGCCTATTTTCTGTGAAAAACATTTTTCTCGGACCTAAATCAATCTGAAAGACACTGCTTAGTTTTAAATTATAGTTTTTTCTAGGTTATATAGACTGATTATACAATACAGTCTACATTGAAGTACTTCTTTTCATAGTCAGTCATTCACTGATTCATCTTCATTGTTTTGCTACAATAAATTTAATTGTTTCACTATTATGTCTACAATTGGTCAAATGAAAATGTTTGATTTTCCCAATAGTCTACCAATTGATTGAATGGTTTCTCAATAGTTAAGGTTTTTATCTTGTTTAATTGTACAAGATATGCGTAATATTATAATCGATTTTCACTGCTCGGTGTATAGACAGTGACATCGGGAATACGGTACAGTAAATATTCATTTCATTTTCAATGGAGTTTGTTTGGAAAATTTCAAACATTTAAAAATCCATAAGTTTGATACAATATTTTTGCATGAAAATATTCAACAATATATGTATATGTTTTTGATTGAGATCATGAACTGATTGATTTTAGACCACCATGGAAAACCTGGAAGCACTAGACGGCCGTTACGTCCCATTGCGAGAATCCTCAGTAGTGCACGTCGACGATCCTAATCGTGGGAATCGAACCCAGAGCCTTCAGTCTCGGGCTAGAATGTTTAACTGACTCAGTGATTTAGTGGTTAAGCGTCCACGCACTAGACTGAAGTCCCTGAGTTCGAATCCCAAAAGCGGGATCGTCGACGTGCACTGCTAAGGAGTCCAGCAATAGAATGAAACGGTTGTTCAGTGCTTCCAGGTTTTTCATGGTGATCTAATATCAATCAATTCATGATCTTAATCAAAAACTTAATAATCTCCACAATCCTATACTGATAATTATTCAATAAACTTTTAAACAATTAATAAATTAAATTTACTTCTCTTGCTTCATAACATATTTTACAAACAAATGAATGATTATCTCCTTGACGTGAATTTGCTTTAACTTTAACTTTTTCAAATAATTGTTGACTATGTAATGCAGCTGAATTCAATGTACCTATTAAACTATTTCGACGATTTAAAAATCGTGATTTGGTTGTATCATTTGTTAATTTGTTTAAATTATTTAAAGTTGTATTTCCATTTTGTCGAGTATGATCCATTGTAATGTATGTTTGATGTTTTGATGTATTTAATAAATTTCCACTTTCATATGTATTTGACATCCATTGAAAATTAAGTAATGAATTACGCTTTGTAATTGGTTGTCGATATAATGATGGAATAATTAATTCTACACAACATGTTGTACATACATAACGATTACATTCTACACAAACTATTGGTGAATTACTTAGATGACCAAATTCTTTATGACATAATGCACATTCTTCATTTTTTCTAGTATCAGCAGTTTGTTTTAAACGATCAAGTTTTTGGAGCATTGCTCTGAAAATAAAAAAAAACAAACATGATGAGATGAATATGAAACAATCTTTGAGAGAGTTTATCAGAAGATAAAACAAATGTTAATTAGAATTTCTTCTACGTCTGCAAATGGGAATATTGTTGGATACGTATAGGTGGACTAGTTCTACTAATCAAACTTGAAGTGTGGCGATAGAGATTCATAAATGAATATCCTTGTGTATTTTATTCCTTATTAGATGGTTATCAATGTATGTCACTTCTTCGCAGAATAAATAAATAATCGAATAAATTTATTTAAATTGGAAGGATGCAAAAGAGTTTTAAGTATGTAAAGTGTGACGTTATCCATTCCTATTCATATACTTTTCAGATCATTTGATGATTGGGTATCTTACATAAGAATGTAAATTGCACTAAAGATTTCGTTTTAAGCATTTAAATTTATCTAAATCTATCTGTTACAAATACGTCATTGAATTACATCTTGACGTCTTGGATGAAAACATAAATATTTTAGAAGTTAGATGTAGAAATAAACTCTCCAGTGGAAATTACATTCATTGATTGCACTAATCCGCCAAATAAATTGAAACATGCCAGAAAATGCTTGAAATCGAATACATATTGAACGACGATAGTGATGGATAACCTCACACTAGTTGAAATGTTATGACGCTTCGGTCAAGATAATGCTGTATGAGACATATCTGTATTCATTTGTTTGTATGCTAGTGAATGTGAAAAAATGTTAAATTCTTAGTATAAAAGAGTACAATTGAATTTGTCTGTGTTAACGGACTGAACATTTAGTTAGTTAGATATTGTCATTTAGATAAATGAACGAAAATGAATGGATGGTGAAGCGTTCTCTTTTATTGAGCTCAATGAGGTTGAGAAATATATAGAAAGCTTCAGCCAATCATCTTATTTATGGTTGAAATACCCATTAGATTTATTTAAATGTTCAATGTCAATTTGATCATTGTTAAAAATAGCATGCACAGTTGTTCTACAGGATTATTAGATCTTTTAGTATAGTTGACTATCATAAACTATCCATTCAATACTTAATTTATTTGAAGATATCACACTGAACTTCAGTATTGATATTTAACAAATATTTTTTGTATTATTACGTAACACTTAAATCAACATAAAAATACTTACTCAACTCTAGCTTTTTCATTTTCAGCTAATAATTCATTACGTCGTAGAACACGTAAAATTTGTTCTTCTTCATCTGTTGTTAATGGTTGAGCTCGACGACGTTGTGCTGATTGGGCTCTAGAAGACCAACCAGTTCCAAGTCTATGAGATTTATGGAAATATATATATTATTAACATAGTTACTTTTGTTATCATATATGTAATTGAAAGATTGTGTTCAAAATAATAAGGTAACTGTCATTATAAGAAATATTATCAAGTCAAAACTATTTAACTAACTGTTTTATTATCACTTTTGAATTACACATCCTTTTGTACTCATGAAAATAGAAAATTTATGATTTAATATGAGGCTGTAATAATTTAGTTACTATGCTAGAATTTTAAAATATCAAAAATATAGAAATGTGTATACGAAATTCAACTGATTCTGAATTATAAATGAGTACTTACATAATAATATTTCATGTTTTCATTCTATTTTCCAGTTTATTTTATTTCCAACAAATTATATCATCAATAAAATAGTTGAATATAGTTTGAGTTTTCAATAAGTATTTAAGTAGTATTACTCTGATTAGTTCAAGTTAATTAGACGATACTGAGATTATGAACCGAATAATGTTAGACTACCATTAAAAACCTAGAAGTACTGGACGGCCGTTTCGTCCTATTGTGGGGCTCCTCAATAATGCGCATCAATGATCACTCTCGCGGAAATCGAACCAAGAGCTTTCAGTCTCGCGCGCGAACACTTGACTTCTAGACCACTGAGCCGTCATGTAACGATGTTAATGGAAGATGGTCACGCGATTTCGTGAATTGGTTGAAGTTAGACACTAACATCATCGGATGCTGGCCGGCTTAGTGATCTGGAGGATAAGAATTCGTGCACTAGACTGAAAGCCCCGGGTTCGACTCCCACGAGCTGGATCATTGATGCGCACTGTAGGGGAGTCCCACAATAGGACGAAACGGTTGTCCAGTGCTTCCAGGTTTTCCATGGTGGTCTAACATCAATCGGTACATGATCTCAAGCAAAAACTTAATAATCTCAACATTATGTGAAACTATAAGGTTTTCAAAAATCTAGTTGATTTAATTAACAAACTTTTAAAAAATGAAAAAATCTTAATTCTACTATTTTTTTGTTTTAGCTTTAGGGTATTTTTTTTAATCATTCAAAAGTTTAAATGAACAGTATGATTAATTAGATGTGAAAATTATATTTAGAATAATCTTCACAATTAAATTTTCAGTCATTTTAACATTTCGTCCTGCGCATTTATTTGAACTTCTTCAGTATAATTAAACCTTGAATAAATATTAGATCATAAATGTTGAAATTAAGAACTATAAAGAATACAAAGAATCTATCATTCAGAATAATAAATAATGACAATAGAATTGTCATATATATATATATATATATATATATATATATATATATATATATATATATATATATATATATATATATATATATATATAAAGGCGAAAATGTCAGTACATAAGTAGAAGTAATAATGCAACCTGAAAAACTTTATTTTCAAATTCCTTTACCTGTAAGAATTTGAGAATATTTGATAATTATCAGAAGGGGTTTGTGGAGATTTTAGAAATTTCACAGATTGAAATCATGAGTCAGTTGAAGCTAGGCCGTCCAGTGCTTCCAGGTTTTCTATAGTGGTCTAGCTTCAATTGACCCATGATTTCAATCTGCGAAATTTCTAAAAACTCCACAAACCCCTTCTGATAATAATCAACTGCTCACTAATGACTGACGTCAGGAGATACTCCTGCAGTTCTAGTGAGGAGCCGTTACCAGTGGATTTCGACCAGTTCTGTTGTGAGATATCAGCTCACTGAAGATAATGGTGTACGGTGGGGCAACTTCGGGGATTGGTTGAAGTTAGACATTAACACCGTTGGATGCCGGCTGAGTGGTCTAACGGTTAAGCGCTCGCGCGCGAAACCAATCGGTCCTGGATTCGAATCCCGCGGAGTGCGGGATCGTGGGCGCGCTCTGCTGAGGAATCCCATACTAGGACGAAAGGGCCGTCCAGTGCCTTCAGGCTTTCCATGGTGGTCTAGCTTCAACTGACTTATGATTTCAATCTGTGAAATATTTGATAAGTAAACTTTATGATAGTCGTAAAAACCAAAATGGGAAATATGCTCAATTTTGATTTTCTGTGGGAATAAAACTTAGGTCAAACGGGGTTTCCAACCATCACCAGCACGCAATGTTGACTCACCTAGATTAGTAGCGATATTGATATGTGATTGATGGACCCGATCTGTATCAAGAAATACCTGATATACATGATATTGCTCATCAACCACTGATCAATCAATTGTAAATGAATCAGTTTAAGCTATTCTTCATAGAATTTGTAAAAAATGTCATTTCATAATATGGTTTTCATTAATTATGATTGATAAGTTCCTAAATTTAATTAATTTAAGTGTTCTATTCATGATAAGTGATATTATAATTATGATCAAAGTTTATTTATCATCTCTATTTTCTAACTATTGAATTTATGAACTGATGGAAAAGATTTTCAATTTTAATGAATATTTCTTGTGTTGCTGAATTCTCTAAGCTAAATGGAATAATTGCTAGTGTTGTAATGTCGGTTGACATTTTAAGCCCATATACCTTATTCTGGCTTTCGGAGACAGGTCAATCTATTCATTCTACTTGAGTCATATTTTTACCTTGTTAATTATTCGCTTATCAATCTTGACTGCTTTTATATGATCGCATATATGTGTTTACATTTATTCTCCTATTTATCACATGTCTTTAATTTTGTTTTGTGTGACTATAAATATTGATCGACGCTAGACTAAATAGAGTTGGCTTACTCGCCATCTCCACCGCGCGTCATTTCACTTCACTATTCCATTCGCTTCATATACAAAATATACCTATTCGAAAATCCATTCTTCTTATTTGAATTATTTAATTCCGTTATCGACCAACGCGATTTAAGTCGATGATTATATACTAGGATAGGCGACATATATATTTCGACAACGATGATTCATACGATCAAATTGGAGTTAGATCTCGGGCCATTAAGGTGGAGAGCCCGTCAACAAACATCGTCCGATCTAAATGACAACAAAATAAAGGGCCCCACTAAACGCTTACATCGTTGTTCATGAGAAAATTATACTTAGCAAAGTGAGAAAAAATTGAAGATAAACTTCTCATTAACATAAATAGATGAGATATTTTAAATGGTACAGTTATCAAGTTAACATAACAATTGATAAAAAGAGTATAGTTAGTTGAATTGTATCCGTAGGTATGTACCTTGTGTTACAAAATATGAATCGGCTGATTCTTCATGAAACCCATCATGAAAAAAATAACTAACTTGAACTTATAATTCTCATTTAAACATTGAAAAAACAAAACATGAAATTCAGTAATGAGATCATTCATCAACGATGTTACTTACTATCTAGTGATGCTATTGTATAAACATCTAAAATTTCAAGTATTGACACCAGAAAGACCGATGAACAATGAATAAAAATAAAGACATAGTAATAGTAAGACTATAATGTTAGATTATATATCATAAATGATCATGATAAATCGATAGTATGTCCGCAAATAAAAAGAGCTTGTCAATATATTAGATGAATAATGGGTTATTACATGAGTAATGATAATTAAAACGTTTTGTTAAAATGATCAACGATAACAAAGGAATTAAATTAGATGAAGTAATTTCATAGATGTCGGTGTGAAAAGAATCATCGAGATATGGGAAATAAGTAGAGAGAGGTGCACTTTCAAATACAAAATTAATGAAATGAAATGACATTCAAACAATAATACTATTAGAAGTGGTCATAATAATATCTTTTCAGGTTGCTATGAAGACAATAGTAAGACGTGCTTCTTCTATGCATACAGGTTAGGCTACATTTCATGAATGATAAGAGCTTTTTTGTTTAAATTTGTTGAATACGAAAAAAATCTTCGTAGATATGAAGGGATCCTATAAATAACCTTAATATCACCATATGGATCAGCGAACTAATTGGAATCGATTAAATGCTTAAAGATGAACTTGAATGCTTTTCTTTCACTTTTGTGGAACAACATTAGAATATTTTCTTGTGACTGAGCTGAAAGAAATCACTGGCTACGGCCTGTGTATTTTATTTTACAAGAGCAAACGAATTGTAAGATTCACATAGAGGCAATCAAACGACGGAACTTGTTCCTTACGTGTACAAACAAAATTTATACTAGTTTATGTTAATCATATCACTGACATATAGAACCTTCTATTGAGTGCTATCAATAATCGATTTCAATGTACATCAGAAGTTTGATCACCTTTAACTTCGATATACGTATAAATATTTTTATTTGAAAATGAATTTCTGGATTATCTGTTCCAACTTTCTTTCATGTTCTTCTCTACGAAGCGGCTTGGATAGCTGTTTGTTGTCAACGATTTTCTAAAGATATCAAGTTCCTCCTCAATGCATTCAGTGCAAAAGATCCTGCATACTTGATAACGTAGTTTGTATACGATTCCTTTTGCTGCCTAACAGAACCCATCTAAAGAAATTCGTTAGTTAGCTGTCCCATGTTTGTTTTGTGTAAAAAAACATTTAAGTAATCCATCAATTACTCTTGTCAGAAGCACCTCAAAAAATCAGATTTCAGGACATATTTCATTTTCTAATGTGAAATCTGGTCATAAATGATAGGTATCGAAAGAGTACAAACTGTCAAATAAATCAATGTTCTCATCGTAAACGACGAAATTGTCCTCCATACATCTTAACTCAACTAATGACTGAATTAGGTGGGTCGTGAAGAAGTTTTCTAGGATTATGCTCGACAGAGATCTTATCAAGATTCTATCTTTTGTTGAAAATGAACTAAACATTAAAAGTATAACATAACAGTCCTCATTTCAGGTGGTTAGTCAGTTAGCCAACATCTGTATTGTTGGAATTAATATAAATTCGTTGAAAAGAGATCTCCACTCTGAATTTCATGTTTTCAAGTTGAAATTAAAGAAACTGACACACCAGTTAAAAGTAACGCCACCGATTAATCGTGTTAGATAGATTTTCTACTGTTTGTTCCAGTGAGA